CAAAACTATGTCAGAACATCCAATTACAAACTCATACACAACTTTTGCAGTATAACACAAATCCAATTGTTTGCTCAGACCTTCCCAAGTACATGCATTTTCACTAAAACACAATATAAAACACATCCGCCTACGAGCAGTGCGACCTGATTGTTACTACTACTTACATATTTAAAATCATGCGGCAACCTTCGGGGCTGAAAAATGAAGCCAATACAGAGGTGTCAAAAACTGCAGTTCCTCTAATGGCCACTTGGGGCTGGCTCCAAAAGCAAGTCAACCTCCACAAATCCTCATGTTAACATGTCCAACTTTACTTTACAGCAGTTGATCTCATCCTATGCTCAGAGGGTATGGAGCTTCCAGACTTCATTTGTTCTCTCAATTTGCGGACATTTTTGGCTGCTTTTCTTCATCTTTGAGTTAGCTGCTAACTGCTGCTAGCTGCTTTTTAAATCTTTCGGCTGTGGGTTGCACACATAACACGTCGTCAAAACGTCACTCCTGTCTGGTCCTGCTGACTGTCCTTTTTACAGAGACGTCGATTTAGTGTTGTTACTACCTCTGCTGCCAGCTCAAAGGCTAAACCACTTTGTCCTCCATTCTGCAACTGTACCATTTATAATTTGGTCACCTCTGGCTCCCAAAAAAAAAGATGGCGGTGGAAGAAATGCAAGAGGCTTCAAAACGGTCCACAAACCAATAGGTGACATCATGGTAGCTACGTCTATTATTTGTCTGTGTTTTATTTGTCCATTCTGTGGTTTAAACATGCATGTGCCCAGGTGTGCTACTCATGCGTGAGACTGTTTATGCTGACGCCTTATAACTCGTAAGGTTTTAGTAAAAATACATGTGTTTGTGAAGTACTGAGCATACGACTGCATAAATGAGACTTGGATTATACGTGAGTTGCGTGTGAGATTGTAAACGACTGTTTTGATATATTGCTATTGTTGTTAAAGGCGGCCCCCGTTTACTTCAACTCATGAACAGTGTTCGCCTGTTTTGGGTTCTCCGTTCACCGTGGAGGCTTGCGAGAAAACCAATTTTTCTTCATGAATTCACGGTGACACACAGTGAGTAATTGATTTCCAAATTATCGTTTTGTGAGTGAAGTATTAGCAATAAAATATGCTCTTTAATTCACTTGAGCTCACAGCTTTTATTTTGCCAATCTGATCTGGCAAAACCAAGGAAGCAGTTTGTTCATTTAGTCCCAGCTTGACCCTGTGAGCTCGTTTTTTCCCCCTATTTATTTTGCAGTTTCTGTGTGGTGCTGTGGTCCATATAACGTCCCACTGACTTGTTGAAGGCATTTCTCACACATTATAGTATAAGAGCATTCCTGAGTGCTTTGTTCTTCCCCCTGTCTACAGTACAGTATGGATCTGATGTATTGTTTGAATTCCTTTTCTTGTTTAAAATCATGTTGACCTCTATCCCTGTCATTTTTCCTGTTGTGTTTGCTGTGTGCACCTCTTGGAATCATACTCAGCATTATGTTAAATTGATATCTGCCTTAACATTGAATGGAATTAAGGTCCAGTAACGTTTGTATTGTTTCAAACGGAAATAAATGACAACCTCGTGATGTCGTCACTCCAGACTAATTATTGTTTAATTGCCATTTGAGAGCTGCCATTACGTCTCCGTGTTGTGCAGAAGCCTGCCTAATCAAAAGCAGGTTTACAGTGGAAACAGGAGTGAGGTGCTCTTTCCATAATACTTTGTTGATGACTCGCCTGTCATACAGACTGAAAACATTCTTTGCACAAAATGTCAAAAAGCAGACCAAAACCGGGAGTGGAAAAATCCAGTTAATCATGTTTTGTGAAATAGTCCCAGAGGACTGAGTGTGATTACAAGCTTATGTTTGGTGTCAGGATGTCCCCAGATGGAGGACGCTCACCACAAGTCTCTCTCTCAGACGTCCTCCCGAGGCTTATCGTGTTCTCTATATTTCCACTAACATAAGTTTTTTGGCCCCATATTGAGGTCAGGAAATTCCTGAGATCTCGTTTGGCATTTGATGTCATGTTCTTACATCAAAAACAGATGACAGTTGTGTGTCTTACCTCTCAGAATGATGTTTGCTGTTCAAGAAGATACAGACGATTTCATACCTCAGACAGACGTCCCGTTGTACTTGTGAGCAACTTATCTTTTTCATTTCAGTACACTACATTCACAGTTTCATCGAGAACACTTCCAAATACTTAAACCTGCATTAACTTACTTTTAGGCCACATGGGGGCAGCAGAAACAAGCTGTAAACACAACATTGACATCATTTTTTTTCAAAAAAGTTTACATGAAACAGCGAGCAGAGTTGTTTGTGATTCTGCATATGTGTTTCTGGATAAAACAAGAAACTAGGGATGGACTTGTCTTGATAGCCAACAGAAATGTAGTAGCCAATCTGACGTTATATGCAAACAGAGGTGGCTAAACCGAAATGGTGGTGGCTAGTGCTACTGGCACTTACAGTGCGAACATGGCAAAAGTGCTGATAGAGCTAACAATGTTAATGGAGGTTAGCTTACATTCACTGGGCGGACCTGAAGTAGGAACCCGGAGGTAAAATTGCGACTCCTGCAATAGCGAAGGAATGTCCTGTCTAACCCTGCCTCTGATTGGCTTACCTTGACATTCTTACCCTAATCCTAACCAATCTCATGCCACTTGCCTAAACCTAACCAATTCAACCAAGGAAGGCAACAAGTCAATCATAGTGAGAGTAGGGCGGCTCATTCTTGCACTATCTTAGGAAACACTAAGTCACGAACCACAAGGAAGGAGGCTTCTTTAACGCCAACGTGGAGGGACGGTGTTATCAGCGTTAACCTCTGGAAGGTAGTACAACCAAAAACAGTAATGACTAATGCTGGTTGGTATTTGCAGAATTTATAGTCAAGTGGGAGGGACCTAACACTTGAAGAAAGTGTTTAATTGGATGGACAATTAGTATACACCCCCAAATGTAGGAGGAGTCATCAATATTTTTTTGTTTAAAAAAATGACAAACTCTACAATACCATTAAGAGTACCTATAAAATAACTTCTTTGTCATTGTTAGGCCAGACATTGGCCCTTTCTTGAAGTAAGCTTTGGGGGAAAGATCACTTCCCTTACCGTTTGTAGCAGTGCAGAGAACTGTTCGGAAAAGTGGCAAATTAAGATTGTTTTCTTCATGACTTCAATACGCCAACATGCCAAAGAGCAGTCGGGTGACTGGCTATACAACTGACAAGCTCATTATAAGCCCGTGCTTGGCCAGTTTAAAGAACTTGCACTCATACTCATACTTCAATCATTTTTTTAAGCTAGCACGAAGGTAGTGGTTTCATAACACAACCTAATGCATGATGGCCGACCAGGGCTAGTTTTGTCGAGTTTTGCCTGACATCACAAGACAGGTCTTAAAAATAATCAAACACCTTTTTGACCTCAATATTCTTTAATCAAAATGCAACTCAAGGTTGTAAAATTAACCAGAAAGGATTAAAACTTGATGCAGAATTCGCATGACCTTTTCCCCAAACAAAGATGGCAGCCATTCTGCGACGTCATGTTGACTTTGAAGATGTGATTTTAAAAAATGGAAACATCTTTATCGATTTTACGACGTCTTCTAGTTGGTATGAGAAGCTGTTAGCTAACAGTAGCCTATTTACAATTACAGCTGAAGTGGAGTAACATCAGCATTCACTTGGAGTGATATTTGTGGTGACGAATGTCTTGTTAGCTCTGTTTTGGTCTCCACTAAGCTAACGCCGGCTTCTTTAGCCTCTAAATGCTCTATGTTGCTAACTAGCTGTTAGTCAGACAGTTGATTTTGGAGCTTTTTTTCTGGCAACAGTTCGCTGCATGTTGAGAGCCATGAGTTTGAACCAAAACAGTAAAGATGTGGGCCCATGTCATTGGTTCGACAGCCCATTGGTTCAACATCCCATTAGTCCGACTGTCCGCAGTGCTGAACGGCTCGCGGCGAGCGTATGGTGCACCGCGACCGGCTTGAGGCAGAGCAGGCTCACGGCTTACGTGTTTGTCACTTTCTTTTTCATTTTAACCCACACAATGATCTTTTCCTGACCCTAACCAAGTGGTTTTTGTGCCTAAACCTAACCAGACCTTAACCACAGGGCATCATGATGATTTCAGAACGGACTTTGGAACAATGAGTTTAATATGGTCGGAACAATGGGATGTTGAACCAATGGGCAGTTTCCAAAGATGTGGGCTTTAAAAGCTCACTGACATGTTTCGAACAAACATCTAATATGTCCAACTATGACTCAGTACGTTTACATGCACACAGTAGTCTAGCTAAGCTCATAGCTTGGCTAATCAGTTAAGTCGGACTTTTCGTCTCGTCTGAGTATACATGCAGAAGAGAAAATCGAATTTCTGACCAAGTAAGTCTGACTCCGCCTCAATAGGCGACGCTGTGTCCTTTTTGAACTAGTTCCGGCTGACCCGAAGAGGAAGATAACGAATGAAGATGGCGGAGATAAATATGTGGATATACCATCCATAAACTTCAAAATGTTTAGCTCCTTTAGTTGTCGGAGCATGAATATAGATTCCTTATCTATCCAGAAGTGCGTCTTCTGCTTCTCGGTCGCCTTGGTGTTTGTTTGTTTTTCCGGGAGTTACTGCGCTGCTATATACTGAACTGCTGCTACGTCATCTCCTTCTTCCGGGTGAAACCCCTCAATGAAAAAGTGGTGCATGCGTGAACGCCGAGTCCGACTCGAGTTGGACTAAGTGGATACATGCAGCAATAGTTTGATTTTCAATCGAATGATCTAGATGTGTTAGTCGAGCTATGGATAGTCCAGTTTCAGTCAGACTAAGCTGTTTACATGCATTTAAAAGTCCGGTTTCAGTCGGACTATGCCAATAATTCGATTTTCTCAAGCTGCATGTAAACGTACTGACTGTGAATCCTTCTTTAGTTGGCTTGATGCTCATGAGAAGATCTTTAACTACAGCACTGTTAAGAACTGTCTGTGCTCAGTCTACCATGCCTGCATCCTTCTGCCCATATTACAACCTTTTAAAAAGCAATTTAAAAGTATATAATGAAACTGCGAGGCCCACAATTGCACACATGAAAACTACCACTAAATACAGTCCAGCAGAACATAAGTATGCAGCACCAGCCACTGCAAAGCAATGATTTAAAGCAAACGACTGGTCAAAAGATTTCACATTGGGTTTATTCAAATAGCTGCTGTCAGACTTTAGCACTGGATGATAATCCGGTCTCATGGAAGTTAATATAACTTACTGCAACAGACGGCAATAGGAAGACATTAGAAACATGGCAAAAACAGTAGAAAATATTCAACTGCATTAGGTTAGTTTTTCCATTTTACAATGTAAAAATGATTGAAGACGTCAAAGTTTATCAGCATTACAAAATAACAGAGGCTGTACAGATAGTGCGAGGCACTTAAGCATCTGGTATTCCTATATGGAACGATAGACCAGATGCTCAAATTAAATGCCTACACACTGTTTGCCAGGGCCACGTTAACAGTCTGGACCTCAGAGATATGAGAGGACTTCTGGATGATGCGGCTGGTGAGAGTGGGCCCCGCGGTGCAGCTCTGCCTCAGAGCGGCGGTGGGTCCTGTGACACACATCCTGTCTATGATAGCGGTCCTCGTAACTGAGAAGGGCTCTCGGGTGCAGCTCTGCCCCGTGCCAGCTCTGGGCGCTGTCACGCTGCTCTGGTCTGCCGTGCAGCTCTGCCCCTGGGCCAAGTTGGTCAGAGCCACAGCGGCGTGGATCTCCCTCCAGCCCTGATCGCCTCGTCTCTGCTGGCCTCGGCCCTGCTGCTGCTCCCTGTGAATATGTCAAAGGAAAAAAAAACAGCCATATGTGAAGTGGATTATTAAACACCATCTCACCTCTTGCCTAAATTAACCTGGAAGAAATCAAGAGCAATTTTTGTTTCGCCTCTTGATTTAAAGCCAGAATAATGTGGATGAATTAGAGGTGATGGTCCAATTTCAAGAGCGACTTCCAAGAGGGATTATGAGTCGTATTACTTTTCAAGCTGATGAAAGTTGAAAAGTGCAAACAGCTGATTCGATTGCAGATTGAGCGATGAATAATTGCTCTTACCTGTCACATTTAGTTGAAGTATAGTCCATTGTGTCTGCAAGAGAGAAGAAAAGTACTCAGAACGTGCCATGAATCAGTTTACTTGATAGCAGTGAAATTGCAAACAATACATAATCAATGTTGGATTAGGCTCTGTGACCGTATGTTAGTGATGCACGGTATTAATGCATGAGTTTTTAATTTGCAGCATGTGTGTATTCATGGGTGATTGTGCATCCAGGGCTCTGATACATTTTCATGGTCAAACTTCAAAAACTTTTCCATGACTTTTCAAGGACCCATAATAAAATCTCCATGACCATTCACAACGCACACAAGTAGAACTGTATAGTGGACTTTTCCCAAATTTTAATTAAATTATTACAGGCGCTCCACGGACACGGAGCAGTTGAGCTCTTAGAGTGAGGGGAGTGACAGTGGACAGTTCAGACAGCCTGTTGGTTATATTGTTTGAAAAAGAGGAAGGCCTGTCTTTACTTTCAGAGAAGCTAAAATGCTCCGTCCAAAACTGCAGTAGCCAACAGTTAAAACGTTTTAGTGTGCCATAGGTATCGCAACTTTGGGATTTATGACCCTACATATTAGATCACAGCCTCTTAACTAGCCTTTTAACCTGCATTATATGAACATATTAGATTCAAACTCTATTCAAACATAATTCCAGCGAGCTGGCAAACATGGAGGGAGAGACAGAACGCAGGAAGAAAATGAAAAAATGTATGTGGTGGTTGACAAAACATCACACATCAAAGTGTATTAGATCCTTGTTACGTCAACAGCTACTGAAAATGAAGTCATTATTTTACATTACTTGGAAGGTTATCTGTCACGAAAGAGTGTTGTAACAATTTCCTTACAAACAATAAAATTACAATTCCATGACTTTTCCAAGCCTTGAAAACGATATTTGGGAATTCCATGACTTTTCCAGGTTTTACATGATTGTGGAAACCCTGTGCACCTGCATGTGAAGGTGCTCCCAAATGCAAGCACTGTAAAACTTCAACTAAAAGCCTTGTCCCAGTTCAAAGCCTAGTCTTTTACTAGCCCGGCGTGGCTACGCATTTTGACAAATAAAGGCCTGTCTCAATTAGAGGCCAGGTCTGGTTACCAAGCAATTCTTTCTTTTTTTTTTTTTTTAAATACAAGTTCTTCAGACAAATAAAACCAGGTTGTTGGCTACCTCAAATTATGTGTCCTTTCCTCGCTTACCCTGCAAGTTATTCATATTCCTTTAGACTGTGAGGGTCCTCAGATCAAAGGAATCTGAACGTGTGAAAGGAATGAAAGGCCTGTCCAAAATGTAGGCCTTTTGATTTCAGGCATGCCAATGCACACAATGTATGCTACGTCGCTTACTTTCCTTCTCAAGGAATTTACTCGGAAGAAGGTAACCATTAATGAAATTATTCTTTTCATAATACTTTATAAAAAGCCTATGTAACACTTATCTTCCACTTTTTAATCAGCCCCTCCAGGATGTTGCAATGTTGGGATCGAAACAATTAATGCAAATTCTGCCAGTCCTTGTGCATTCTGTGCAACCTTGCAATATTGTCCAAGCACTACAACTTTATCCCAAAATTAAAATCCAATTTTCGGGGCGTCAGTAGCACAGTGGATAGTGCCGGCGCCCCATGTACAATGGCGATGCCTCGCCGCAGCGGTCGCAGGCTCAACTCCGGCTTGCAACCATTTGCTGCATGTCACCCCCCGCTCTCTCTCTCTCCCCCATTTCACTCTATCCTGTACATTAAAGGCAAAAAAAAATATTTCAAAGCGCCTTTATACACTGTAACATGCATTGTCGCATTTTAAACATTTTTCTTTAGAAAAGCTGCTGTAAAATCAGGCTTTTCAGGCCGTAACAATCCAACAGTCTGCCAAATCCTGGAGGGACTGATTAATATATTTACAGCAATGAAACAGAGGGACATTACAGTGTTTGACATAGATGGCACCCAAAGCAGTCAAGCAACAGCTTCTGCTAGGGTACGGCAACACCACTTGGACAAACACACCATAATACTAGAACCAGTGATGATAATAATAATGATGATGGCAATTTGTTAAGCTTATTTATAATTATCATTACATTTGCGAATTATTACCTTGGATGGCTGTGTGTTGCTTGTCGTAGCATAACAGTGTTTTTATTGCTGGCTGTGTCCCTCCCAATATATATTCTAATTACTGCCTTGATACAGTTACCACTTGTCCAGGATGTCTCTCTGGGTTTGTTTTACAGTGCCAGAAAGATTTGACTCAGTGAAGTGCACCACTCTGCCTGTGCTCAGCTCCTTTAGCCAACATAAATTCAATGCAGTATTTCTCTTGAGCTCTTAAGAGGGAGAAAAAAAAATCTGATATCTGCATCGTGTCAGGAGGACTGAGTGTGTTTTCAGGTTTCCAAATCTCTACTAGCACCTTTAAGTGGGTCCGAAGTGTGTTGTGCCTTTTCCAAAACCTGTCCCTGCACATCTTCATCGTTTTTGACCGAGGCACTTGATTAACTTGTACCAGCAGGCAGGGGAGTGTCGAATGAATGAATACCTGAGAACCTTGCTAAATCTGTGGAAGAAGGAACAGTCTTTCTCTCCAGGTCCTGAAATGAAACTTCAATATTTCTGGCTGTTTCAGAAGCAGGAGCAGGATAAATAGGACTTCAGAGTAATATCGTATTGCTTGCACAATCTCTGTTTGAGGTCTGTGCATTATATGTAGAAGTTATTTTCCATTGCAGTTTTGGAATATTGCCTTTTTTCATTGGAGCAGATAGAAGCTGGTCAAAACTGATTTTTCATCAGAGAGCAATAGACAGGGAAATTAGAGGCCCACTGTGAAACACAGACTTGCTAACAGCCCGAAACATCCCCGTCTCTGATTTCTTTAGCCAGGCTGGAGCCAAGAGCAACTACTTGCAGATAGTAAATCATTTTACTGTTTTATACTTTTTTGCTACTGAACGTCCCTGAGCATTTCTCTCTTTAGGCATAATATGCTTTGCCAAGAAAGTACTTCAGTACCTCTGTTGTATTTATTACCAAGAATAAACATTGTTTTACCTCTGGTGAGTCTCAAATTTACAACGAGGATCAGTTACGACTGAATTTTACAAGGGGTAATGAAGCTTCTCACTGCTTTTTTTGTATAAAGGCCTATATATTACACTGCTGCAGTATAGTTATGGTTTCATGTTAGAGCTTTCATCTAACCTTACTTACTTACAAATAAGGAATAGTTTGATATTTTGGCACAACCCAATCCTCCAAAAAATGTTGGCATTGTATGTTTCTACAAGCCACGGATACATTACATTTGCATGTTATTATGCAGTGGATATGGTGAGACATTTCAACAATGCTGTGGTTAATGTCTGCTTAGGTTTAGGCACAAACCCTACTGGGTTATGGTTAGGAAAAGATCATGTTTTGGATTATAACCCAGTTTTGCGAGGCACAATGACATCTGGAAAAGCAGCAATTTCTTGGAAGAAAAGGGGAAAAAAAAGCTGCTGGAATAACACTGACATCGCTTCAAAACACCCATGTTTGGAACCTAGAAAGCCACTGGACAATCACTAATGGGTCACTGCAAAACACCCAAATTTGTAATATAAAAATCCGCTGGAAAAACACTGACATTACTCCAAAACACCCACGTTTGGAGCCTCCAATGCTGCTGGAAAATCACTGGTGAGTGAATCTAAAACATTAAGTTTGGAGCCTAAAAAGCCACTTGAAAACACCAATGGGTCTTTGAATGACCACGTTTAGAACTAAAATGGCTGCTGTTTGGAGTGTCACTCCAAAGCACCCATGTTTGGAACCAAAAAAGTAAAAAAAACAAAACAACCACAGATGGGGTCACTAATCAACCATATTTGGAACTAAAATAGCCACTAGAAAGACACTGATGTGTCACTCAAAAAAAAAAAAAAGCTGCTGAAAAAACACCAGTGGGTCACCAAACGACCACATTTGTAACAAAAAAACACAGACTGGTCACTCCAAAACACACATCTGGAACAATGCTGACAGATTATGACAGTCATAACATTATGACCCATGCTGGTGGTTTTAAAGCAATCACTTGGTAAAACACAACTGGTTTTGTTGTTTGTTGGTCTGGAACAGTGGTCTACAGCTTGGCAGCCATCGTAGGTGACAAGCCAGCCACCATATCCTCCACCTCAAGATGACAGAGTCAGCTTATATACGATGTCACTTTATAATGTTGATATGAAGCATATGAAATGTCAACAATTTCCTATGGTGTCTGGGCTGTTTGAGAAATACTCTTAGTTACTGTCTTAGATAAAAAAGAGTTGTACCACTCTCAGAGAGGGATCAATCTTGTCATCTAACTCTTGGAAAGATAGTGAATAATTGTATTTAATTTGTATTACAGTGTTCTGTATATTATGTGATTGAGCTTTCTGTCACTACCGTAAACCCTGCCAGGGTCATCCCAATGTTCCTATGTTGCTTGAAGTAAACTGATATTGTAATAGGTTGGTGAGGGCTAGCTTTACAGTTCATATTGCTAAGTAATGAAGGGAAATGGATGTTTCAAATGCAGTTCGAAGGGTAAAAATCCGTTCAGCCACTGCGGAGATATTAATGTCTAAAGTCAATTAAAAATGGGTCTCAGAGAGTATGATATCAGTAGGCTATAAGGTGTGGGTGGATGATTTCAACATATCGACCCAGGGAAACATACATTTAACATCTGACCTAAAGAAAAACATCGCTGAGAAAATAAAACCCTTTAAAAGGTCTCTTTAATGAGTCATATTAAGAGGATAATGAGCTGGGGAACATAAGACCCCGTCTCATGTAAACCTCTTATAATGAAATAATGCCTACAAGAGCTGATTTAAGTATTTGTGTTCTCCTACAATATCAGCTTAAATCCCTTCAGTCATCTCACAGGTGTGTCGTCGGGATCCACGCTGGAAACAACTGTGTACTGAGAAAATATTGTAACACATTATTTCCTCAATGCGGACATGTATTCACGAACAAGAGACTC